ATATATATAGCTATATCTCTAAAAAAAATTTAAAAAACTATATAAACTTTAATTTTTATAATACAGTTAGGCTATTTCTATATTATAATAAAGTTTATTTTTCATTTAAAAAATCTAAATACTTTTGTTTTCTCGATTAAAAACGCATTAACGCGTGTCATGAAATTGCTGTCTAGAAGTTTTAACTAACATACTTTAGTATACCGCATTGCGCAATACCAATTATGCAAATAATGATTTTTGGCAATATTTTACTAACGACTTAATTTGTCATATTGAAATTTACTATACATAACCAACAATTTTATCGATGTTGCTTTTTTCGCACTATCACTCTACTATTCATATTGTTTTAAAAATATCAATATCAATATCAAAAATGGCATGTAAAAGATCTTCAGATGAACTTTCGGAATGCAACAGCTTTCTTCAAAGCTCTAAACGGATGGACCAAGTTGCAACGGTAATTACATTTCATTTTTAGGTGATCTATATATAGGACTCTAATAATTTAATTTGCATTTTCCTCTTTTATTTTAGTTTTTATTATGTTAGCGTAAACCGGGGTTACTTTGAACGTTTTTGAGATATTTTTACTTGCTTTTTCCTCACTATTGACAATATTTAAAATTTAACAAAATGAATATAAGGGCTAAGGTTAACTCACACATAATTCAAATTCAAAATATTATTTAAATAATATTAATTTAAACAGTTTAATATTAATTTAAACAGTCATTTAAAGTTCTTTTAAAATAATTTTCTTGTAATACGATATTTATGTTTTATAAAATGAGTTTTTTAAAATCATTTTATTATTTTTAAAAACCCTTTTTTGCGTTACCATTAAATAAAATGTTTAAAAAAAGTTGTTACAGACTTATTATGTCAAATGTTGGTTGTTTCCTAGTTATTGAAATTCCATTTACTATAAAATTTTTTGGTATTATATTCTTAGTTTTAAATAAAAACGGTCTTGTTTAAACGCATCAACGTTTTTGCTTTTGTATAAAACCAAAAACGTTGATGCGATTCTTAAAAACATTAAATTGCTGAAAACCTCAAAAATGATACAATAAAAAACTTTGATTTTGTCGTTTAAAAGTTAAATATGTTCAAGTGCCTAATACAGTAGCGTTTAAGCTAGCTAGAAGATTACAAAAAGTCTATAGCTATTTGATTGCTACTTATCGCAGCTTTTTTTTAGCTATCTATATTTTAGCACGGAATGTCGATAGTTTTTTATACAGTTGTAGTTTTGGCCCACTTTTGAATGTGAGCATTTTTAAACTAACTCAATAAATTATTTTTATTGCAATCAATGTATTATTGTAATAAAGCATTGCATAAAGTGTGTTGAGTATTTAACTTAGGTAAAGTTGAGTTGGTTATGAGCTGTATTTATTATGTTTTCTTTTGTCCTTTTTTAGTAACAGATTTTTGTATATGTAAAGGATTAACCTTTTTTAGATATTTCCAGAACTCTGGAAATTTTTGTAACTTTTTTTTTGCTGGATATCTAAAACATTTTCTATACTTAAAAGTTTAAATACATCTATTTATTTTATAAGCTTTTTCACTCATCAATCATAAAAAAATAAAAAAAAGTTTGAAAAAAAAAAAAAGAAAAAACTCAGCTATAAGCAAAAATAAGAGGAAAATAAGAGAAAATATTTTCCGGGTATTTTACCCAAACAAATTTCCGGATTTTTAAAATATTGCATGGACGATCTATGATATGTATATTATATAAAGCTATGATTGTATGTATATTGAAAAAGTTATTTTTTTTTAGCATATTCTTACTGCAGAATCAGAAGTAGAAATTAATTTTAATACATCAAAAAAAAACACAAGAAAACTCCTTTAAGTCAGCAAAACAGAAATAGAAAAAAAAAATGTATTTTTGAAGAACCTCCTTTACCATCATTACCATCGTGGGAGCCACCAAATTCCTGATTCCGATTCAGTATACATTTTAAAATTTTATCCCATTCGTAAAAATAATAATTTTTTTTGTTTCATTTTTATGGTTTATTTGCTTTTTTTAGTTACCATTTTTAAATCAAAAAAAAAAAAAAGTAAAATATAATCAGAATATTGTGAATGTATTTATAATCATTGTTAATCTTGTTCAGAACTTTTTGTCCGTCTCTGCCTCAATGGATCAAGTAGATGACTTGCCAGTTACACAGATAGTGTTTCCATCAGAAATGCAGTCTGTTTCACAAGTTCAACCGTTACTGCATTCATTTTCTTCCTTTTCTTTACCATCTCAAAAAACTTGGATAGACCAAATAAATAATTTTATTCGGAAAGCAAATGTTGAACCCAATACTGTTGAAGGCATTCAATTTATAGTGAACTCAATGTACAGAAAACTTTGTGGGTTGGAAACAGAAATGCGTTCCATGCGTTTAATTTTAGACACTAATCATGGTAATAAAGAAAATATTAATATAGATTATTTACCAGCTAATTCAGTTGAAGAGTTTGACTTACTAGAAAATAAAATAATTAACTCTAATGATAAAGATATCATTTGCAGAAAGTTAAAGCAAATTGGTGGGAGAAATGTAAGTGACTTTTTAAAAAATGCTTTAAAAACTTGTTTAACAGACAAGCTGTGCTGCAGCATTAATCGAACTGGTGCAGATAAAAAGCGTTAGTTTATAGGACCAGTCGAAAGTTTGATTGTTGATGCAGCTTTCTGTTTATTTCCAACTGCCACTTAATCCAGTATGACTACAATAATTGCGAAACACTTGAAAAAGTCTAAAGATTGTTATTTTGCTGCAAGAAAGAGAAGTTTTTCTTTAACAAGTGATATACAAATACACAGTCCTGTTAGAAAAAAAAGAAATTTAAACACTGACTCATGTAGTGATTCCAGTTAACTTATTTTGTTTATTTGTTCTATTATTTTTTATTGACTTTTTTTTTTTTAGATATTTTATTTGTTACAACTTTTTTAGCAATTATTTTCGAAAATTGATAAAGATTTTAAAAAAAATAAAATTTGACAGAAATTTTATTCTATTACCTTTTTAAATATCTTTTGAAATTATTAATTTAATTTAGGCAAAATCATTTAGTTGTTAATGACTTTTTATTTTTCAAAAGTAATCTATAACTTTTCTTTTAACATTTTATAATGGCTTTAACATTTATAACTTTTTATGGAAACAAGTATTAACATTTTGTATTTAATTTCTTATAAATGCTATCTTATTTTAATGGTTATAATTCACTCCCCTGAAAAATATAGCACGCGATTCTTTAAGCATATCTTCTAACCTAGCCGAGATTTTCTAGCCAAACCGATGTCATTGTCGTAACGACTTAATGCTAGCTGTTCGCTAGCTTATTTAGCTAGCAATCCTCGTGGCCATACCGCTGTCTTTATCGTAACGACTTGTCGCTAACTTGTTTAGCTAACGGATCGCTAGCTTATAAAGCTAGCGATCCTCGTGGCTAAATTGCTGTCTTTATCGTAACGACTTAGTGCTAGCTATTCGCTAGCTTATTTGCTAGCGATCCTCGTGGCCATATCGCTGTCTTTATCGTAACGAATATCGCTAGCTATTCGCTAGCTTGTTTAACTCGTTAGCTTTATAAGCTAGCGGATCGCTAGCTTATAAAGCTAACGATCTTCGTGGCCAAATCGTTGTCTTAATCGTAACGAATATTGCTAGCTATTCGCTAGCTTGTTTAGCTAACGGATCGCTAGCTTATAAAGCTAACGATCCTCGTGGCCAAATCGCTGCCTTAATCGTAACGAATATCGCTAGCTATTCGCAAGCCGATTTCCCACCGGGCAGTTTCTGAAACTTGTAAATCTTACATTAAATTAATTTTTTTTTTTTTGTTGATCAGTTTGAAAAATTAAAATGTGCTGATTATTTTTATTGACATCGATCATCTCGTTTTTATTCACATCTTTCGATCGGTTCGCGAATTTTTGGTTTATGCGTTGAAATTAAAAAACTTATTTTCCCAGAAAAAATATTCAATTAAATCAAGGACGTATTAATAGATGGACGTTTAACCCATTGTTATAGATCTGAGGCGCCGCAAGTAAACAAAAACCTATGCAAGGTATAATTTTTAGCGTCATTTGTCTGTGTAATTTATAACAGTAAACCAACGTTTTTCCGATAATTTCGCTTTACTAACTACATTTTTTAAAAAGTACAATTACCATTCAAACTCTAACTTTTTTAAAAAATTAATGCATAATAGTTAAACGGAAATAGCTCATCTGTTTTAAAATGTCAAATTTGATACGTGAGCGCTGTTTAATAAGAACTTATTATTAATAAAACTTAGATGTCAAAAATCATATTTTTGTAAAAAAGTGATATTTGGTTTGCAAGAATGAATACTGCAAAGTGAAACGAATTTTCTAGATGTTCTAGGTAAAACTGTAGATCATATATAGATCGAACTATAGATTACTTGTTGTCTCTATTCCCTACACTTAGTTGTCACTATTATTTTAAGTATTTAAATTTCTCATTTTTGTCGGAAATTTTGTCTCACAATTTTGTTTTAATATTTTTCTGTGATTAACTTTTTTTTTTCCATGTAAAGATTTCGCTTGAGTTAATAGATCATATAATGAAAAGGTTTTATTTATTTAAAAAGTTTTTAGAGTTTTTAGGTGTAGTGAAATATTTAAATATTTCTAAGGCTAAACGAGGCTATCGTTAAAATCAAGTAAAATTATTCTGACGTAAAATCAAGTAAAATTATTCTCAAGTTAAAAATAGTTCTCTATTGTTTTGCTATTGTTATTTGTAACAATGAATAGCGCGGATATTTTGGCTTTTAAACAATACGTTAAACGTCCATCTATTAATACGTCCTTGCTTAAATCAAACAGATCGATTTAAGCTAATAAAATAAGGTGCAATCATATTTCGAGTAGCATAAAATGATGGTCTCAAACATACCAACAACACGATTGAAATTGGGCTTACATTTTCGCTCTTTAAATACGGCCCGCGTTGGCAGGCCTGAGAAAAATTGATAAATACTCATTAAATTGGCCTTCTCCACGGAAATCTTTAGTAAAAGGCGAAAGATTTGTACGTTAACTGAAGAAAGCCCAGAGTTTAAAGAGAGAGGGAAACAAACTAAGCTACTTTAGATTTTACTTTTATGCTTGTGGTGCTTGTTAAAAAAGATTATCATTTTCGTAAAGTAAATAAAACTTTGAATTACGAATTATGAATGTGAATAAAACGGTTGGCGAAAGAAACATCATTCAAATTCGATCAAAGTTCACTTGTAATTATGCGTACTTGCTTGAGGTATAATTATGCAAGTTGTTAAATTTTTAATCCAAGAACTTTAAAGAGGTTTTTAAAGGAACACAAAAATTAGTTGTGGAGATGAAAAAATAGTTTTAAAAAGTTATATAGGATTTCCAGTTGTTAATTTAACAAATAATATAAAATAAAAGACTAAATAGGCTAATTTGCGCAAACGAACTGTTTACTAAATATTACAATAATATAAAAAAATTAAAGTTTTCTCAAATAAAGTATTGATAGATCTATTTTAATAGATTTATCGAAACAATATTTAATAGATTTATATAAACATTTTTTAACTCATTTAGATAGTCGATTTAGTAACAAAAAGATTAGTAAAATAGTTTTTGCGGCTTTTTATAAACGAAACATTTCATAACATCGGCATTTTTTGCATAATTATACCTATTGCAAATTACTCATATTTACATGTGGACTTTGATCAACATTTGAGTGATAGTTTCTTTTGCCAACCGGATACGTTCCAAACACTTGATTTATTAGGAAAATTTCGGAGTCGAGACATTTTAAATATCACAATAAACTTTAAATATTTCAGGGTGAAAGTAGAAAGGTACGCCCGACAGTGTTTTTTCATAAATAAAATCGATTACTTAAAATTTAAACATTGAAAACTAAACTAAATAAAAAGCTCAATTACAGAAAAAAACAATGTTAGGTATGTCCATTGTTTTATTTTGATATGTAGTAACTATTAAAATATATTTCACCTCCTGATTATCGCTAAACAATAGATTTTAACTAAGATTTTACTTTGGGTGTACTGCTTTGGGTACGTCCTAAAATTGTTATAACTAAAGAAATTAATAAATTGCTTTTATAACAAAAAAAATAAAAATTTAAAAACGTTTTTTATCGTTTAACAAAATAATATTGGGTACGTCCATCGATTCTTCTAATTAAATATTATTATTACTTTAACCTCCAGTTAAAAAAGATTTTTTTATTTACCGCTCTAAACAAAGAGCAACTTTAATTACTCTAAACAAGAAGCAAAGTTTTTTTTTTTTTTATAACTGTTTGTATAAAGGTAATAAAACTTAAATTTAATTCACTTAACGGTTAACTAAAAAAAATTTTTATGCGCAATATTGAAATATTATTATATTTATAATAATATTTCAATATTGCGCTTATATTTATAAGTTAATTTATTAACAATATATTAACTTTTTTTTTAGATTTAGTTTTATTTTTGGGTACGTCTACAGACGTACTAGACGTACCCTAGATCCGCCCCTGGCTTTAAGCCCCTATAGTATAGAGGCTCTATGAAAAGTTTGTGATGTTAAACACATCATCCTTACCTTCTTTGAGTCCCTGACTGATTAGAACAGTAAATACATACTATAAACTAAAAGAATATAAAAAATTATAAAAAACGTTATTTATCATGATTATGTTTACGCCGCTATGTATTTTTTACATGATTTTATGAAAATTGTAATTGTAACTGTTTAATCAGCAAAATAAAAGTTTATATAATAATATAATAATAATAAATAACACGCTTTTCTTAATAAAAGGCCGCATCTCATCTTGAGCGTCTAAAGACGTATGACTTTAAGCAACTTTATCAAGTACTATCAAAATTTGAATAGCACGACAACAGGTTATGTATTATTTCATATAACCCATGGAATTAGCAGTACATAAGCATAAAATATTGAGGATGTAATAAATTTTAATGATCTAGTTTCGTTCTGACGTAATTACAAAATATTGAATAGTAAAAAATTATAACGGGGATGGTAAATTTTTTTAACAGTAAAACAACCAAAGAATATTAACTATACAACCAAGAAATTAAAATATATAACACCGTCGAACTTGAATAATAGTTTTCAAAAATATCATTAGTCTACCCGTAAAAGATTATACCATCTTGGGAAACTGCTCATCTTACGCAACCTTCCCCTAGAATTTACTACAAACTCCTAATTTTTTAAGTCTTAAAATACTCAAATAATTCACTGAATAGTTTTAAGATTATAAGCGAATTATAAAATAGGAATGATAATGTTTCAAAATCCAGTGGCGGATTAAGAAGTCTTAATCCGCCACTGGATTTTGGCCCAGTGGCGGATTAAGACTCCTTAAGGGCCGGGGCTATTTTTGTTTTTGAAGGCCTTTTTATGGGCCAGAGCCTAAAAATAATTGAAAAATAAATAAAAGTTCTCTAAAAAAAAAGTTCTCTAAAATTTTTTTGGGCCCCTAAATTTGCGGGGTCCTGGGCTGTAGCCCCTCCTAATCCCCCTCCCCCGCCTTGATTCGGTACTGTTTTGGCCTTAAAGTAAAAACTATAATATATTGTTAAAAAATTACTTCATATCTTTTTTCTGGCACTATTGCTCATTTTAAACCTATTTTCGATATATTTGGAAATTTTTAACGGTTTCTAATAGCCACGAGGAAAATTATATCAAATATTACTTTTTCTTCTATTTCTTCCAAAGATGTATATTTTTGCTAAAGTAACTTTTATAGAAAAACAAAAACAAAAATTAATCATTTTTATCAATTCAGTTTTACAGGTTTTAGGCCATAAAATAAGAAATAAAATTTTTTATGTAAAAATCGCTTCATAACTTTTTTGCTAGTACCATTGCAGTCCTTTTAAACTTATTTTGAAATTTTTCATAAATATCTAACGGTCCCGGATAGACACAAGGCGATCCACTGCCCCAAAATTACTTTTCCTTATAATTATAATTTTTTTATATACATTTTTAAAATTATACATTTTAATTTATATACATTTTATAATATACATTTTTATAATTATACATTTTAATTTATACATTTTTTTTTGCTAATATATAAACTTCACGGATATAAATTATTTTGAAGAGGGTTTATGGAATTAAGAGCAATTCATTTATAACTTTAAATTCGTTTATAACCTATAATCCTTAAAATCGCTTCCACTGTTAATTGCTAATAATGGTAAGGCAAAAACAGCTTAATGATGCTCTTGAAAACGCTGATAAAATTGCCAAAGAAGAGCTGAAACAAGCTCTTAATGTAATTAAAACACTTATCACCAAAATTGACGAACTTACTAATAGAATTGATCTGCAGGATATTGAAATAAAGTATTTAAAAGATAGAAAAAGTAGTGAAAAACCTTTGTTATCTAAATTAGTTGAACAAGTCGGCAAACCCGGTACATTAGTAAACATAGCTGTAGTGAGCGCCCTCAATAAGCATAACAAGGACGTGACAACAGAGAGAAGAGAATTGTAGTGTTTGGTCTACCAGAATCTGTTAAAACTCAACCAAGCAAGATAACCAAAAATGACACCGCGGAATTCAAGAAGGTTATGGCATCTTTAAGTAAATCAGTCAATGTAATTAGAATTGAACGTTTCAAAAAAAAAGAACTTTGATACTTGTAAACCCGCTCCTCTTGTGATTGAAGTTGATTCAGTACTTATCAGAAATGACATTCTAGTGTCGGCTAAACAATGTCTCACAGGAAGTTGAAATCAATGGACGTAAAAAGCATCCTTTCATCAAATGAAAAGATGCACAAGCACTCAGAATTGCTAAAACACAATGAATCAAATCGTTTAACTGCGAATACTTATTTAAATGCATTAAATGCAAAAATAAAATCTGCTGAATCGAACCCTGAAAATAAACTTTTAAAGTGTTTTTATACTAACGCAACTTCTCTTAATCCGACCATGGACTTATAAGAGATGGACTTGCAACTTTTTGTTATTTTACCGAACTATGCTCAATAATTAGGCGTCTGTATTGTGACAAGTCTTTTGTTTCAAACAAAAGAAAATAGTTATGATTCTTTACGTCGATTTTTAGGTACTAGGTAAAATGCGAACTGCGAACCGGTAAAATGCGAACTTTTTTGCGAACCATTGTCCTATTGGTTGTTAATGATGTAATGTTTTATTTCCGTTGAATAATTCATTTAACGGTATATTTTAAGGACTTTTAAGCGAAAAAATTAATTAAAAATAAATAAAAGGAAATTAAGTGAAACTTAAAAAAATACAATATAATAATTTTTTTTTTAAATTATTTGATAGACTGCCCGCCCAAACCAAACCCTCAGTCGATTTAGCAGCACTCCGTTGCGAGTCAGGCTATAAGATAGTCGATGTAGCAGCATTCCGTTACGAGTCAGGCTATAAGATAGTCGATGTAGCAACGTTCTACGCATGTTTTACAGTTAAAAAATAAAAAATTTACTTTAAATAAAGCCTTAAAATAGATAATTAAGAATTGGAGAGTTTTTTTATTATTATTTTTATCATAACAATAATGGTCTCTAAAATATAATGTTTTGGTTCGCAAAAAAGTTCGCATTTTACCGGTTCGCAGTTCGCGGTTCGCAGTTCGCATTTTACCGACAACCCGATTTTTAACGATTTATTAAACTTGTTTAGTCAGTCTAAATTATGGTTTTTCATAATATTGTTGCTAAAAATTCATGAACAGTCAGGGCAGTACTTTAGTTGTTATAACATTAACATTGTTTGTAAACGCTCACAATTTTATGTAAAAGTTGTGTATTAAAAATATGTAAAATCTAGTTCTTTGTGATTTTATAATAAAAAACTAATTTTTAAAGCAAACAACAAGTATGCAATTACGATGTTATCATCATAGTTATTTTAGTAGTTAAGAAGTAATACAATATAAAAAAACTACACCTTTTAACAATAATCTTGTTTAAACAATCTATTTATCTAAATACACAAGGTAATTTGGTTAATTGTAGCCTAGTTTTGAAAGCAAACTGTTTGTTATAAAG